TAAGAATGGTAATGGCTGGACAGAACTGTGTGGCTAGGTTGCCAGGGCTGGCCTGGCTTGGAGGCGACGGCCACTGGCAGGTCCAGTGGTGATGCCAGTCGTCGTAGGGGCTGCACCGCCACCTGCTGAGCGTCCTGGGCAGTTCCGGGCTCCCATGCGGGGGGCCAGGGGCACTGCCAGCTGTGAGGGGGAGGAGGGACGCGGCAGGGGGTGCGCAGGTGAGCGCAGCCTTGTTACTCTCCGGCGCGCCCGTCTTTCCCGCCAGGGAGTTGACTGCCCGGGTAAACACCAGGCGCAGTGAGCGCGGTGTATCCACGGAGAGACAAAGCCGGGGCGGGGCGGGGGCGCCGCCTGCGCGGCGGGGGCGGGGGTGTGGGTGCAGGGCGCGAACCAGTCTCCCGCGGGCAACGGCTGCCCGAAGCGCGTGGGAGCCCCGAGCCCAGCCCGCGGACAGGTGGAGCGGGGGCGGGGCGGTGGCCGGGCGGGTCCCGCCCCGGAGGTGGGGCTGGGCGGGCCGGGTGGGGCGGGGCCGCGCTATGCAAATGCTGCCCACGGGCGGCCAATTGCCGGCGCTCCTCGCGCGGCTCCTCGCTCCCTGTCCCGCCGGCGGCCTCGAGACGAGAGCGAGCGAGGGAGCGAGCGGCCGCGATCCGGCCATCCCCGAGCGCGGCGCAGCGCAGCGCAGGGCCACGGTCCGCCCCGAGGAGCGGCGCAGTCCAGCGCGGCCGCCTGCCCCGGGTCCAGGAGCTCGGAGAGCGCAGTGCCACCGAGCCGAGGCGAGAGCAGCGCCCCACAGCCGAGTGCGCGCCGCCGCCCGCGCCCCGCGCCGGGGAATGCGCCCTCGGCGCACCGGCCAGGGGGCGCCCGCAGCGCGCCCCGGGGGAGGCGGCCCCGAGCGCCCCTGAGTCTTCCCATGGCCCGGGCTGGGACCCGGGGCCTCGGTTGCTGACGTGCCCAGAGCCCGTGTAGCCCACCTAGCAGCGGCCGCGACGCACACCGCTGCTCCAGCGCAGCGACGAGAGGGCGCTGGTAGGGCCATGGCCCCGGGGGGCCTCTAGCGCGGGCTGGCCCGGCCGGGAGCCGCTCCGCTACCGCTGCTGCCGCCGCCTCCCGGGCGCCCAGGCCCCGCCGCTGCGGGAGAGGTGAGTGCGACGAGAACGGGGAGGGAGCGGGCAGGCTACCAGGCCACCTCCGGCCCCTCTGGGACCCGCAGTGCTGCCAACTCCACCGAAGTATCCTGGGCGCAGACCTTCCAGAGCGCAGGACTGGGTGACGGCCTTCGGACGAAAGGGCCACAGCATTGGGATGGGCGTATTACCTATTCTTGGGGACGTGTGGGCGATGTGGCCTGCAGGATCACCAGCGTGCGAAGCAACTTTTTTCTCAAGGTCCCGGGTGGGTGGACGCTTCTACAACCCTCTACCCCCACGTTGCTAAAGCGGGAGCCCTGAACTCCCTTCTCCTTGCTCAGCAGTTCTCTCCCACCAATCCCTGGAGCAGCCGGCCCTCCTCCACTGCCCTGCCTCAGTGTACCCATTTGAGGACCAGGTCAACTTGAAGAGAAGCACTCTTCAGCACCCACGCAGTGTGGGCTTTCAGGTCGCCTGGGCAGAAGGAATGTTTGCCTCTAGGCACTTCTTCCTGTGTTCTGCCAGCCTCCTACCTCCGCTTGGCAGCTTGGGATTGCCTTTTTGGCAGAGTTAGGGGATAGGGTCCCAGCTGTAAGATGTAGGTGAGCTATGAAAGCCTATGGGCCTTCAAACTTAAGTTAGAGCACGTTGAAGACCTTGTGATGAAGTGGGCAGGTGACACCAGGGACCTTGTTGGACTGGTCCCCAGCAGGTGGGACGGACAGATGTTAAGGTGGTCCAGTAAAGAGGCAGAGTGCTAGAGGCTGGTTGGAGCCAGGGCTGTGGGTGAGCCTGGCTGGATAAATAACTTCTAATTCTTGTAATAGCTTTGTTGATGCCATCAGCCCATGAACGCCCAGGGTAGGGGGTACAACTGAAGGCACCCGGGTGTCTGCCCTTGAGCTGGGCCAGGTTGGGGGGTCCTTGTCCTGAAATTACCCAGTTATTTCCCAGCAGCCTCTATTGTAGTTGAAGACACAGGAACACTGAAACTGCACCCAGGGCTCAGTCCCAGCACTGGGGGTTGGATGGTTCTAGAGCCTCTCCCCTGGGGGGGTGTCTGGACTCCATGGGGGTATAGGGTCTAGGGCAAATGGAGGGCACACCCCAGCACACCTATCCCTGCTGTTGCCCCTCAGCTCTGAAGGAGACAGGGCCGGAAGTGGTGGTGGTGGTGGGGAGATGAGAGCCAGCAGCCCAGCCTTTGCACCCCCTGCTCTGCATACCTTAGGGGGGAGGATGGAGAGGGTGACCTTGACTGGCAAACCCTGACCACGTAAGGGGGAGGTTTCAGTCCTAGCCAAGCTGGGGTGGCTCTGCTTCCTGGTCCTTGGGGTGTTGGGGGAGGGGCTAGCTGAGGAGCCAGGAAAGAGCTCTGGCCTTGGGGGGGTATCTAAGAGACTGGGAAGGGGGTGGGGAGCTGTTAATAATTCCCTCCCCAGGTTCCCCCACAACCCCTGCTCCTATCTCCCTACCATCCAGGCACTTCTTAGCTCGTTAGAGCCAACCTCCCTTCCCCGAGGCTGGCTGTTCCCCATCCCCCTTTCAAGGCTGAGAGGTCTGGATGGAGCTGGACAGTTGGACCACCTGGCCCTCTGCTCCACCCCCAGGTGCCTCCGTACCCCCTACCCTGGCTGCCCCTTCTCTGCACCCCTTGTCAGCCCCAGCTCCTCGTTTCTTTGTTCAAGCGCCTCTCCTCTGTCCCTCCCTCTCTCCTCCCTCTCTCCTCCTCCCTCCCTCCCTCCTGCCTGCCTCCCTCGCTCCCTCCCGACAGCCTTCTTTCCTTCCTTCCAGACTCTCCTCCTGGTGGGCTCCCAGGTGGCGGTGGCTGTTCTTCTGTCCATCCACCTGGGCTTGGCAGGGTTGGGGTCACCTCTGGGATTGGGGCTGAGTGGAAAGCATCTAGGGGCTAACAGATCTATGTGACTGTAGACAATGCCCTCTCTGCCTCGCCTTCCTTTTCCTCCTTTTCCTCCTTGCTTTTCCTTTCCTCCACCCTCTCCTAAGCTGCTAAGGAGGAAGCCTAGACTTGGGCCTTTGGACCCAGTACCCTTTTCACTCTTTTAAAGAGCCAGAGACTTTTGGGAGGTTCTAGTGCCGCAAGTTCCCCCACCTTCCTGGACATCCTAGAGGATTCCAGCTATGTCCTTGGTGACCCTGACCCTATCACCCTAAAAGTACATGCAGAAGAAATGAGGTCAAAGGGTGGTCGACCTAGCTTCCTGATAGATGTGGCTCAGGCTGCACTGCACTCTCTCCATCCTGGACGGTGTCTCCCTGCTCACTCACTCCACTTGCAGGTCAAGTTCTTGGGCAGACACACGCTTGTAATGGCATGTGTGGGCGCGCAAGTATGGATGTGTGTATATCCACATCTGTTAGTGGGGGCCTTCCAAATGCACCCCAAGGGTGATGGTGGCTATACAAACCTCTCCCCCACCTGCTCTGTCTTCAGAGTCAACCAGGGACACTGCACGAGCCAGGCCACCCACCACCACCTCAGGGGAGAGCACGATGATGGGGCATCTTGAAGGAGGTATGCCAGGCACTCAAGATAGGATGTTCCCAGCAGAGGGCATCACATGGGGAATAGGCCAGGTGGGAGGTCTGAAGCTGCACTTCCAGTCTGAAGACCGAAGTCCTTGGCAGGAAAGGCTCAGGGCTCAGGTAGGGGGGTGGAGCATGAGGGCCTAGCGAGTGAGACCTACAAGTCAAGTACTGGATTTGGGTCTGGTCTCAGCACTGAAAAGGCGTAAATCTCCACCCATCACCCCAAGGTCTTAGTGATGGTCCCAGGGTCCTGCCTCCCATAACAGAAAGGATCAGATAGGGCAGATCTGAGGAGATGGGGCTCACATTGTCATACCCCCAGCACATCCGGGTTGGGGGGTGGGTGGGAGTTGGCACCGGTTTGTGCCGGGAGGGAGCAATATGTTCTGACAACTGGTGCTGGGCTGCGTTTACCCAACAGCCAGCCTGCCTGGGGAGATAATATTTGAAAAACACAGAATCAAAACTTGGACCTGCTGAGGGTTGGGGGCTCTGCAGGGGTGACTAAGGCTGGCACAGACACCGCTGCAGGCTAACTTTCCTTCTTGGAGCCTCAAAAAAGAGCTGAATGTTTTCCCTGCCAGGAAGTCCCTCTGTCTGTCTAACCTGGATCTCTCTTGCTGTGATTTCAGTTTAAGTAAACCCTACTCCTCTCCCTCTCCTCCCTTGCCTAGTACTGTCTCTGACTTTGGGCTATTGCTATGTGTCTTGCTCATCGCCTCACTCTCCCCTGCACTCCCCACCCCCCCACCATCCCAATAATCAGGTCCAGATTCCTCTGCACTGTGAGGAGAGGTTTGGTTGGGTCAGCCAGGGACAGACCCCATTCTTCAAGATGAAGGAGCGAAGGAGCAGCCTCCTCTGTGGGGATAGAAGCAGAGGAGAGAGAACCTGCTGGGGCCTAGAGAGGCCTCTAAGAGTGTCTGCTGGGACTGCCCCCTGTGGATAGAATTTAGGATTTTTGGTGAATGGGGTTCCCCACAGCCCCCACCCACTCCAGTGACCCCAGGCTGACCATCTCGCCCATCTTCCTTTAGGCCCATTGTTGGTATTTCCCCAAGACAAACGAAGGCATCAAAGTGTAGAGGTTTGCACACTGCAACACACTCATGACTCCAAGCTGAAGTGTGTGCAAGCAGATTTCCACCCTTTTTGTTCTGATGGGTAAACCGAGGTGCCTTGGGCATAGGGAGATGGTATCCCTTATCACCTTTACATTCTACTCTTGGTTTTCCCCTCCCAGGTGTCTGGAGAGAGAGAGAGAGAGAGAGCGCACACACACTCAAGAGCCTGCTTCCTGGGCCCTAGGCCCTTCCCACAATGCCTGTCGCTGGCCTGCTTCTCTGGGCTTCCTTGCTGACTGGGGCCTGGCCGGCTACCCCCACCCAGGACCTCCTCCAGGCCACACCCCGGGTCCGGCTCTCATTCAAAGGTAAGATGGCCCCTTTGCTCTTGGCCCCACTGTGTAGGAGAGAGGAGAGATTTGGGGCAAAAAAGGACAAATTGTTGTTCCTGAAGCCAGATGATATCCACTGTGTTGCTCAACAAGCAACTTTGTTGCTCAAAGCCTTTTTATTATGTGACATACTAAATGAGAAATGCTGAATTAGTGTTGATAATAATAATAAAAAAGACAAAGTGTGCAATTATATGGCTTACCCTGGACGAGTGTACTTGCAGGGAAGAGGGAATGGAAAGCCAGTTTTGGGGAAGGGTCTTGAGTTTAGGCCCTTTCCATGGTTGAACTTAAAGCCCTAGGAGAGAGCTCTGATAACACTGCTAGCTGAAAGGCTTTGCTCTGGCAGTTCAAATCCAGCAACTGCTTCTCAGGAGAAAGATGAGCAATGTGATTTACAGGCTTGGAAACCCACTGGAGGGTCAGTGATAGTCCATTCCGACTCCATGGCAATGAGTGAGGCTGGGTCTCCAGGCCATCTCTCTCTGTGTGGTCATTCTAAATCTTTGTTTGCTGCTGAAGTCCTCCTTCCCCACCACTGTGTACCTGGTCCTGCCTTGGGCAGCCCTGGCCAGAGGGACAAGGCAATCGGGCAGACCTAGGACCTCAGGAGGTCTGGAGACCAGAGATATCTGCTCTGTTGGGGAATGGATGCCTGAGGAATCTTCTTTATAGGTCTCCAGGTAGAAGAGACGCTCAGGTCGGGGAGGGTGCCATTGATCCATGGCCAGCGGTTTAGTGGGCCATTCAGGGAGTTCAGGCATAGCACACATTCTGCACTGAACTTTCTGCCTGGGAAGTTATTGGAAAGTTTTCATGATGGCTTAGAATTTGCAGAGTGAGGGTCCTCAGCTCTAACCCCTCTGCCCTCCCCCACTGGGCACAGGAGGCTGGCACACCACACTGTACATCCCAGGTGTGCAGGCAGCTCCCTCCTCACTTGCCACTTCCTCCACAGAGTTGTCAGGAGAATCCACCTTGGCGCTGGGCCCAGGGGACACAGAATCACTGCTGAGTCTTCAGCCTTGGCCCCTCTCTGGCCCGAGGTCACTTTGTCCAGCTGCCTGCTGTGGGTGGGGCCGGCTCAGTCCCGGCTGGCCAGGTTTCCGGGCAGCCGTATTGGGGTGAAAGGCTGAGCTGAACTTTCCTTCCTCAGGCTCAGCCAACGCTCAACCCGCACCCCACCAAGACCCCCTACAGGCCTACAGGGCCCCTCCTCTGGCCTCATCCTACCCTTGTGAGTCAACGAGAAGGGAGTGAGCTGCCTGCTCCAGGCTTTTCCCAGTCACCAATTTCTGGGGATTTCTAAAGATGTGCTCAGAAGGGATCCTCTGGGGGACCTGAGAAATGTTCAGAGAAGAGTTAACCAGTGTGAGCTGTTAAAGCATGCACATGTCCCCACCTCCCCATGTCCTCAGGCTTCCCAAGGTACGATATTTATTCTGCTGATGCTTCCACCTCACCTGGTAGAATTCCTTCGAGCAGATTAATAAATCTTAACGGCGCCTACCTGACGCCCCGTCCGCTCCCAAGTCCACTCGGAGTAAAGTGTCCCCTTCCTCTGAAGTGGAAGGGAGGAGTCGCTCCATCCACACAACCCAGGAGCCCCTGGAGGCCAGGCTTTCACGCAGGGTGTTATTTCTGTTGTCTCAGAAACCTGTGAGAGGAAGCAAGAGAGCCAAGACCAAGGGAAGTTGTTTGTGTGCACCTTCTAGACCTCGAGGGGCAAAGGGCAAACTGAGGCTCAGGCAAGGGCAGGATCGAGGTCAGACAGCAGGCAGAGGTGAGGCCAGAAATAGAACCCTGGCGTCCTGGCCTTGCTGGCGCCCACAGCTCCTCAGGTCGATTCCCCCTCAATTAGCTCTGAAGCCGACACCCGCAGTGAGTAAAAGCCCAACTTGCTTCTCAGGCTGGCCGCCAGCCTGCGGTGCTGACGCAGTCTGGGGTGGGGCTGAAGGATGCTGGGGGCCACCCCATCCCAGGGGCCTCTGTATGCGCACGTTTCTATGTATGTGACCCTCCCTGTTCCCCACTTGACTTTATGTCCTCATTTTACCTTGACATATCACTTCAGTTCCGCAGGTATCTGAGCACCTACAGTGTGCCCAGTCCTGTGCTGGCTATGCTGTCAAATCGGCTGGAAGGACAGAGAACTGTTGTAAAAGCACTGGTGCTCACTCTGCCTCTCTCTCGGCTTCAGCCTCAGTTCTCCCTTGGTACCCGGGTGGACATAAGCAGCTGGCACACCAGGTCTCAGGGGCTCAGGCTAGGCATCCCCGCCCCCCCAGCCTCAGGTCTTGCCATTCCTGGGAGGTGTCAGATCCGGCCTGAGTTGGGCCAGACCCTCCAAGCCGGAGGTGCTGGCATGAGGGGCCGCGCTGCCCAGGCAGATAAAGGAACAAAGGCAGGAACCGAGCCAGGCTCGGGCTTACTGCCCACCCATCCGCCTGGGCACCCTGGCCAGGTCTGGAGCTGAGAAGGCCTGAGGGAGGAGGGCTTCAGGATTCATCGCCTGGGATGCTCCACAGCCCACCCCCTAAGCTTCCATCAGCAGCACAGCTTAGGTCAGGCAGAAGTGAGGAATCGAGCAAGGAAAATTTCCAGGAAGTCCCTGAGAGTTTATGAGCTGGACAGCTGACTCAGTTCTTCCATTCATCTGTGCCTGGGCTTGGGGTCCCTCAACCCAGAGTTGTAGTCCAAGGTGGTAAAAGTCCTCCTTCCACATTACCCCCACTATGTGACCTCTGGCAGCATGACCTTGCCCTTGGGACAGAAGTCCCTAGGGTCTGAGAACTACCTCTTGGCATTAACAAGGAAGTGCCAGTCCCTTTGTTCAACTCAGAGAGTTTACTTTTCCTCCTGGAAGCCCTGCCCCAAAATGCAGTATGTTGAATGGGCTAGCTTTTTTCAGGATTCAAGTAAGAGGTGTTACTTGGCGTAGGGATCTTGTGATGACAAAAAAGGCTGGGGAAAGTGAGACAGAGATCAGAAAAGGGAGTAGATGATCACCTTGCCAGGGGAGGTTAGAAAAAAACAGAAATAACAATAGCTTTCTGAGTTGATAACCAGTTTCCACCCAAGGCCTACGGGGGTCTCCCTGGGTTTCTGGTGAAGAATGAGATAAGAAGGATTCAGTAGCTTCCCAAGTCAGTAGGAGCAGAATGAGGTTGAGCCTGGTCTGCCTGTGCCTGTCTCAGGACCAGCAGCAAGGGGAGTGGGTAAAAGGCCCAGGGTTCAAGGACCTAGCCCAACCTCTTGTCTTCATTTCCCAAGGAACTGGCAGGGGTCACGCTGGGCCAGGCTCCCCACATCTTGTCTGCTGAAGCAGCAGCACTTGGGTTTGCTTATTTCCAGGCTGTTAATCCAGCCCTTGAACACTCCAGCCTCCTGAGCACTTCAGAGATGAGAAAACCAGAACCCAAGGGAGAAAAAAAGGTTCCTGTGGCCGGGACAGCCCTGACAAAACTGGCTTGCTCAGCGGGGAAGGATGTCTGCAGGTGGGGGGTGAATGGGTGAGTTCCTGTCACAGTCTTCCCACCTGCCTGAGCCTCTGGGGCTAATGGCCCAGAACAGAGCCATCCTGCACATCATTTGCATGTGGCAGCAAAGGACTGAAGTCACAAGCAAGATCTTTTTCCAAACAAGATTTCCTTGTTTGGCAATGAGAGGTTGAGAGGGGTCACAGCTTGTTTAGTTCAAGTGTAGAGGGGGTGAATATGGGAGGAAGTGTAAGTACCTTTGGCAAGCCTTGATGGACCACTGGCCCAGGCCTATTTAGTGGGGAATATAATAAAAATAGAAGGCTGACTCTGGTCCCCCAGGGAATCCTAGACCAGCCAAACCAAGGTACGGAGCTCCAGACTGCAGGCACTGGGAGAGAGTGAGAGGAAGCCTAGGAACTTAGAAGCCAGGGATCAGGGACCTGGGAGCTGGGTATGAGTCAGGTGACTGACAGCCACAATGGGTTTGGAACTGGCCAGCCTGGGAGGAGCGGATGTTCCGGGATGAGCCAGGATAGGGGAGGAAGGAAGAGCCAAAGCATAAACTTGAGCCCAGATGCCTGCATCTGGGATCCTGGTTTTCCAGGAAATGAGAGCCACCTCACTCCTGAGAGGGGACTTCAGAAGTAGCCGGTTGAGGAGTTGAGAGGTTTGTGAGGGTTGCCCTCCTCCCTGGGAATCGACCTTTATGTAAAGTGGAGAGAGACACGCCTTGCGTTTGCCCAAGAACTCGCCAGAAACCCACCCTGAATCAACCTAGACAAGGCCTGGGGTCTTCAGCTGTGTCCCTTCCAGGTCCAGCTATGTTTCGGACGGGACTGCCACCCAAGGGGCCTGGGCGGAACAGACCTTGTCTCTGGTTCCCTGGCATGACGCCTGCCCCTCCCTCCCTGGCTCCAGCTTCCCTTGGCACCGAGCGTGGAGCTGGTGCATGCTCAAGGAGTAAATCATGTTCCTTGGCAGCCCCCGCTGCTTCGCAATCATAAAGAATTTAAAGAGAAACCGCCAAGATAAAAATCTCATCCCTGCCCATAAAGGCATCTTTCACCCTGTGGCTTAGAGGCAGCGTGCCTGAGTGGGCTCCTGGCTGTCTGCACCGGTGTGCGTGCACCCTCTGACTCTGTGGCCATTCTCAAGGTGGTGATGGCCCCAGAGGGTGTCAGCAGGGATGTGGGGACCTGGCTCTTAACTACTAAGAGACCTCCACCCCTCACCAGAGGAGGGGGCACTTACATCTGTCATGATGCAGAAATGAAATGGTGGGATGGCGGACAAATTCTGATTCTACCTCGTCAGCAAATGACTGTCTCTCTTAGACTTGGTTTCTTCCTGCGAGCACATCTTGATAACTGACTGGTTTTGCTGTGTTTTTGTTTGTTTGTTTGTTTGTTTGTTTTTGACATGGGGTTGTTGCCCATTCCTGATGACCACATATATATCACAGTAGCAGCTGTTTTCAGGGGCTAGTTTTCAGAA